CATCCAGCCACCTCATCCTCTGCTGCCCCCTTCTTCTTTTGCCGTCCATCCTTCCCAGCATTAGGCTCTTCTCCAGGGAGTCCTTCCTTCTCATTAGGTGGCCAAAGTATTTGAGTTTCATCTTCAGGATCTGGCCTTCTAAAGAGCAGTCAGGGTTGGTCTCCTCTAGGACTGACTGGTTTGATCGCCTTGCAGTCCAAGGGACTCGCAGGAGTCTTCTCCAGCACCACAATTCAAAGGCCTCAATTCTTTGGCGCTCAGCATTCCTTATGGTCCAACTTTCACAGCCATACATTGCAACTGGGAAAACCATAGCCTTGACTATATGCACTTTTGTTGGCAGGGTGATGTCTCTGCTAGGTTATATGTTGTGTACGTTGGAGCTGTCCTCATAAAAGTTATAGTATTATATTTTGGAAGACAGAAATCTTTGCTCCTCCCCCCTCACTTCCTGCACTCCTCCAAATATCCAGGGTTTTCCATTCAGATTCCTTCTGGTGGGGAGGCGGGATGGGCCCCTGGATATGCAACTAGATACTTTTGCAAATGCAACCTTGCCACCAACTGTTTCTCCCTTGCTATCTAAAACATCCAACCTACTCTTTGTATGGAATTTCTTACCTCAGACTGTAAAAGCAAACACTGAAACCTGTTAAATTCTGTAACTTCTAATTGTTTTAGTGTTGATCAGTTCTTCAAGAACCAGATGCATCATAATGTTCTCCTGATGGCTTCTCTGTTTTCTTTGTGTGCTTCTATATTGTTCTTGAATACCATCCACTCAGTCTCCTTCCCCTCCCTGCAATGCATGGAGACACCAACTCCATAAAACACTCTGTGTATGCTTCATTACTTTGTAGTCAGTCTTAAACTGGCTACCCCTTAGCATTTTCATAATTTAGGAATACCTGTTTGCTGTTAATAAACTGTTGAATGCTTGACCATACAATCCCTTTTGGGTCTGAACATTAATTCTTTGCACGTCTGTGCAACCTGGTTTTTCAATCAGTCTTAGTATATCCATGGCCAGTGGAAGAAATAATATTGTCAGGAAATTAATGGGTACTTTCTGGGGTGCTAAACCAAGGGTTCTTAAGACAACAGGTTTAGTCCTGTGTTACTTGGCGGGCGAATACGCATGCCCGGTTTGGTATAAATCAGCACATGCAGGGACAGTCAACATCGCTCTGAATGAAGCTAGCAGAATTATTACCGGATGCCTTAAACCTACTCCTTTAAATATCTACTATCTAGCCAGTATGTTCCACCTACTATCCACAGAGAAGCCGCAGGGTAGAGAGAGGCTTAAATCATCAAAATCTAGACAACACCCCCTCTATGGTCTACAATCAGTTTATCAGAGATTAAAATCCAGTAAAAGCTTCCTTAGGTTGACAGAAGGTTTTGAAGAATCCAAAAGTGCTGTGGACCTATGGAAAACCACAAAGTACCAACATTGGATGGAACCGACAGAGGAGTTCGCACCTGGGTTGGATGAAAGTTGGGAAGTATGGGAATCATTGAATAGACTGCGTATGAGCACAAGATCCAGAGCTGCTTTGAACAAATGGGGTTTTTTGGTGGTTTCTGCCCTTTGTGATTGGGGTGATATGCAGACTACAACACATATGTATACCTGCCCTTTTGCACATTTGAGGCCCTTGTGCCAGCATGACAGAATGCAATCCATGTTGTTAGCTTCTGGGCTAGATCTGTTTAACCTGTACATGTTTTAATTCTACATTTTAAATTTCTTGTTTTATAATATACCCTAATATAGTATGTTTTATAATATGGCATGTCTTAACTGTGATGCTTCTGACTTGAAGAAAGAAAGCATGCCCAATGTGGTGCATCAACCTTGTGAGCCTCCTCACTTTCACCCCCAAAGCAGACAGTCTGGGTTTTTGGTGAAAATAGGGTAAAAGGTTTATTAGAGATTTAGGGAAAAGCAAAGAATGGGAAAAAAGGTCAGTCAGTTTTAGCATCCAAAGCAATATGTGTTTAAAATTGAAAATTCAGTGGCAAATTGCAAACAAACTGAAAATGCTAACATAGCCCTGCATTAAACGACCTACCTGGTTTTTGAAGACTCTGTGGTGCAGATCCCTTGGTACCTGTGTCAGATCTTTCCTCACTATTGGGGAAATTGACACTTTACCACCTGTACTGGAGAAAAGATCTTGGTACAATCTCCTTTGGTGCCTGTATCAAACTTTCCTACCTTTTAGTAGAGTTGCTATTGGCACTTGTACCAGGAGAAAAAGACGCCAACCTTCCTAGTGAAGTATTTCTCCTAGTGAAGTATTTCTTCAGTCTCTCCTGGCTTGCCAGTTCTGCATCCGAGAGGAATCTCTTGTTTTTTGTCTGCTGACCTTCTGGGAATTACTTATCCCCAGCTCTGAGGCTGACTCTGAAAGATCCCTCATTGTTTAGGCACCTGGACAGTTTTTCTAAGTGGAAGTGCTTGACCTTGAGATGACCTCAGCCAAGGCATCTGCATTGAAAAGCCAGCATCATCCAGATGACCTGGCCCCTAGCTTTAGCGGGGACCTGCAACTGGTTGCAAATAGGGTTCTTTCTCTTGGACCTGGGGAAGATGAGGCAAGCATAGTCCACCTGGGCAGGCTGCTCCAGGCTGGCCAGAGCACCCCCTGCCAATCATTTTGTGGCTTCCATGGAGTATTTTCCTGCAGTTTATAGAATTAAAATGCCACTCATAAATCTTAACACCAGCAACAGTTTCAAGCAAAAATATATGGGTATTTTGCCCTTTTCTGTTTTGGCCTTGGTCCCATTCCTTTCCTTTTAGCTCTGCCTGTCCTGCAATATGGCCCAAGGAAGCTTCTAAAACTGCCCCTTCCTGGTGAAAGGGGTTGTAGGCCTGACACAATTGCCCACTGTTAGTCTGCCCACACTGTTCTGTGTTAACTCTTCAGCTTTCCTTTCTTTAGGTTGGTTTTTTCCCCCTGGAAGTTTAAAGTCAAACTAGTTTTTGTTTTAATCCTAGTTTCTACAGATTACATTTTTTAAAGAGAGTGCCAACTCTTTGTGCTTTTTGTGAATGCAGGATAGACCCATTAAGCCACTGTGATGCGCTCTAGCTTTTCCACTGGCATTACAAATGCAAAGGAAAACTGAACGGGGGATGAAGAAAAAAGCTTTTATTCTTTGATGCTTGAAAAGTGACATTGAGCCAGTCGTCCGTCGCCTGCGAATAACCCGCGGACCAAGGCCTGAGGCATGCGAACGGCGCCTCCCCCCGAGGCTCCGATTGGCCGCCGCCGCCGCCTGGGAAATGGGGTGACCCACACTTTGGGGCTTCCCGCGGGGAAGAAAAGCGAGCAAGTTCAACCGGGAGCCGCCCTCTGCCTGGGCGGGAGGGCGTGCGCGCCCGTGCCGGGGAACTGGTTCGAGCGAAGAGCCTCCCTCTTCCTGCACAGGAGGCGTCCAGCTCTGTCCCAGCTCAGAAATAAACTTGAGACCGGCTTGCCGCCTTGGGGGCCGGCGAGCGAGGCTGCCGCCAGCGTGGAAGCAGAATAAAACACAAGCCGGCTTCCTGGGCCGAAGTGACCGCAGTTTCCCCAGCCGGTCTTGCACTCATTCAGCCGACTTCTCGCCCGGATTTCTTCGGAATGCCTCCCCACTCCAGCGGCGGCACCGCAACCAACCCTCATCGGTCCCGCTCTCTCCTGTTTCTTTTACTGCTCTCCTTGGCAAGCACCTAGCCGCTTTCCCCAAACCGAATCATTCGGTCCTCAGAGGTTTCTGATGCCGCCGCGGCGCCACTTTCACCCCCACCACCCTTAAAAGCCACTTGTGATTCTGCAAGTCTCCCTAGCCCCACGGGGGGGGGGGGGTTGCTAGTTTTTAATTTCATTTATATCCTTCCCCTTTTTGTCCCTCTTGCAAGGAAGCCAGGGCACAGGTTACGTGATGCACCTTGTCCTTTTGAGAGGTAGGTTAAACAGTCGCTACCCAAAGTCGCTCAGGGAGCTTTACGCCCGAGTCGTAGAGCCCAGATCCTCCGAGTCACTCCCGATCCATCACCCTCGCCACTGCATCACACAGATTAAGCGCCCTTGGTCTCACGGCGGGAGGCCAGTTGGGATCCGCGTGCTCATCAGTTTCTGGGGTGTCATTTTCCTCTTCCTTCCGTCTGCCTGCCCTTCACGGTATGCTCCGCTAATCTCTTCAAAAGTAGCTGGATTCACTGAAGCTAGGTACTTTAGGCTCTGAATAATGATCTGTCGTAAGGCAGTTAATCCGCAGTCCGCTCCGAACTAATCGCTTTGCGGAGATGATGCCACGACAGCGTTCCAGCTGAAGTCCACCTGTGCGTCCCAGTCCTACGCTTGCATGTTCATCCAAAAGTACACCCCGCGCCGAGATCAGTTGGCGGACTATCCCCTACATGCCTGTAACATTTCTGCGCGCAGGCACGCACACAAACACATATTTGACGACTCCTCAGACCAGTTGAGTCCTACAACCAGAGAACAGTAGAGTTGGAAAGGGCTAATAAGGCCATCGGATCCAACCTCTTCTCAGTGCAGAAACTCCAGCAGAACTTCGTCTCTACTAAAGCTTCCATCTTACTCAGACATGAAGCCGATGCATAAACACTCCTAAACCGATTGAAATCTAGTCTCGTAACCCCACCCAACTCTACCTAGGACGACGGAAGCCTTACTCGGCAGTAAGCGCAACTGAGCTCATTGCAACTTTCCAGAGAAACCTGCATAAACTCGGCCTTGATGGACAAGCGAGTAGCCTTAAGGTCGAGATCTTGCGATTACTGTCCCCATCCCTGCTTTCTTTTCCGGCCGAATATTCCATTGTCCCTTCCTTACCCCCTCCCCCCTCCACGGCCCCCGTGACGTCATAACCCCCCTTGCTCGGTGGCCAGATCTCTCCCCATTTGTCTCCAGCCACCATTGTTACGTCACAATCAGCCCACAATTTAGCCGGCCGCGCTCTCCTTGCTTTCCTTTCTCCTCCTCCTCCCTAGCGGTGCCTGAGGCCGAGGCTCGGACCCGCCCCTTCGTTGCTTCCCCGCCTCTGCAGCGTGACTGAGCCGGCAGGCTGGTGCTCCTGCTTTCTCTCCGCCTTCCTTTTCAGCCGGGATCCACCGCCACCTTAAAACTGCCCGCTATTGAGTGCGCGTCGAAGGTAAGGAGGAATCGGCTTGGTCAAGTGCTTCGCGCTCGATTCCAGGCTGGCCGGCCGGCCGGCCGGGGCCTCTTGCAACTAGCGGCTAGAAAGCGGGAGGTCTCCGACGTGGAGATGTGGGGGGGGGGACGCCCAGCTGTTGCTTTCCTGGGCGGATGCGTCCTCGACTCGGATTGTCCTTGTAGGGGAAAGAGAAGGCGCGATCAAAGGAGCGCACTTCGTTTCCCGCCCGGTGCGCCCAGCCGCTGTCTGGGCCGACGGGCCGGGCAACGAAGAGGCTCCTCGGCTCTACCCTGAAGCGGCCGCATCTCCCACACCCTCGCATCAGCCCATGCGAGCAGCGGCCGGTGGTTGGCTGGCACGCGCTGACAGGCACCGTAGGCTGCCGAGGGGGCTCCTTGGAAGCGGCGCCAGCCGGGGAGGGTGGAGGGAAGTGGTTGTTTCTAGGCGGTCCTCCGGAAAATAGGAGCACAGGGCGGGAGCTGCGTTCTCGCCTTCGCCTGCCCGGAAAAGCCCGTTCCGGACGAGCATCTGATCGCGAACTACACGTGCATCAGTCCGTCTTGCAGTTGCCCGTTATAGCTCTGGGCTATACGCGGAACCGGATAAGAGTTTTTGAGGTGGCCTATCGCGAGTTTTTAAAATTAAAAAAAAAAAAAGCTAAACAAGCGCTGCGTTTTGCTCTCGGGCAGGGCCCGGGAATTGCAACAAGTGCTGCAGCTCTGTCTTCTAACGTGCTTCGCTGCAGCCGCTGGAGAAAGCGATGTGAGCTGGCTTGCCCTTTGCACCCTACCCTGTTGGCAGACCGCGTGAGAACATTTAAGGCTTTCAGGCCCCGGTTCCGCTATTCGGAAGCAAGTTTCTCTGAAAGACCCGGGACTCTTTTCAGCAGGAAATGGCTAGGTGTTTCTAACCACAATGCTCCCTGCTGCAATGTGTAGCAAGGATCATCGGGGAAAAGATTACGAGTTGTTTTGGACTTCGACTCCTAACATTCATGACCATGCTACCAGGAACTTTGGAGAGTTGGCCTCCCAGACATCTGGAGATAGGCCTTCCTGGTTTGTCAGTTTTAGAGGGTGCTAGAAAGTTGGTGCCTTGGCTGGGGAGTGCCCAAGACACTGCTAATGATGCAATCCTTCCGTGAAAAGCAATATTAAGTTAGCTAAAGTGGATGTGTGTGTGCATGCATGTTTAATGTGTGCATTAAAAAGGGAATCAAGTTTTCTTTTTTCCTTAAGACTTCGCATTCTAAGCACCCTATATTCTGACAAATATACTGTACAGCAGGGGTGGCCAGACTTGTTCAACAGAAGAGCCACACACTGCAAATGTCAGTTGTTTGAGAGCAGCAAGTGGGCACCCGTGGGTGGTGGTGAGTGGCAGGTGGGTGCCTGCAGGTGTCCATGGGCAGCAACAGCAAAATAAAGAGTTGCATGCAGCTCCTGAGTCTCTGCTGGGCCACCCCTAGCCTATAGTATTTAGACTAATGTGTGCTAGCACTGGTCTCTGGCCATCCATATACTCCAGGGTATGCTTCCTTATAGAAAAGACATCCACAGGAAGGATGGGCCAGCATTGTTCCTTCGGGAGAAGAGTATGCTTTCTTTCCTAGTGCAATCTATTGAGCAAGTTCCTTCCAGTGTTAAAATGGGTGTGCATTCACATGTACAACTTTTTTTTATTTAGGCAGACAGCGCTATTTCTGCAGGAGATTAAGGGTGCATTCTTGCACAGAAAATACCCCTACAATTCTCTGGCCAGCAGTGCTGGTTGGGAAATGCTTGGAATTGTAGAACTTTCTTCTGTGTGTTGGATTATATCTTTAGGATGCAATCCCATGCATGTTTTCCTGGGTGAAATGCACTTCCAAGTAAGCATGTGTAGGGTTGCTCTGTTAAACTCTGTGAAGCCTGGCTCTGTGCCTTGTTTCTACTTATACTGCATAGTTAAAAGCTGGAAAACTTTCAAGTTCAGTTTTTGTTGAGCTGTATGGGGGGGACGATGCTAGTACGAATTATTAATTTGTTCCTTGGCCCAGCTTCTAGGCTGAGGAAAAAAAAACAAAGCACAGGAAGGATCTAGCTATGCCGGTGAAAGGGAGGGGGGGGGAAAGTAATGCAAATGAGGAACCTTGAAGGGTCAGGCAAGCTATGCTGTATGCTTCTAAAGAAGCAACCCTACCACACACGCACACACATGCACACACAATATCACCAACTCCTTTCAACAGAAGCAAATGCTTCCTGTTTCAAAAAGGGCTATTTTCCTAGTGTCAGAATGAATGTGGGTGTTGCCTGCCTTCACAGGGGTGAACTTCACATTTTGTAGAACTCAGTCCCACTTTATGTGTTAATGCCATGATCCACTTCAGAGGACACAGGGAAAACTCTGAAGTAAGCGTAGCATTGGAGAGTTGCTCTTTTACTCCGGGACATTATGCAGAGCTGATTGGAATATTTGGACTAATGCGTTGGTGCATAGGCACTGCCAAAAATGCCTGCTTTTGTTTGTGTAATGTGGGAAGGGCTGATACATTCATGCTTTTTAATTTGCATCTCATAATTAAGTACTGGCTTCTCAAAATTAAGTGGCTTTTCTTAGCTTTATAGTAACACACAGTTTAATATTCAAAATATAAAGAATGTAGCAGTACATGTATATTGCAATCTGCACCACAATGGTAGATAAGAAAGTAAAATAATCTCTGGTATAGGAATTTGATTGCACGGACGCTCTGGAATACAAAAGATTCTGTATTGCAAAGATCACCTTTTTGTTTATGTGGAAAGGCAATACCAGTGCTTAGTCAGCAAGGAGATTTGCTCTCAAGACACCAGATCCTTCCTTCACAAAGTGAAATGTGCTGATTGCACAGGAGCTGCAGCACCCAGAAGGAGAGGCCAGCAAGGTCTTGCATTGTAGACTGGCAGGCTGACTGCGTGGTCCTGGGCCAACAGGCAGGTTATAGCTGTGATTGCAACTAATCAGAAAGTTCAGGGCTAACTGTAGGATTGAGACATGATTGCAGTTAAAACAGACGCTCTTGCATCAACTCCAGAGCCACCCACCAATCATGACATTGCATGTAGATGACTCTTCCCATTGCAGGCAAAGCACCAATCAGCAACATTGTGATTGCATGACCACCGCAATGGCGCTGTCTTAATGGTGCCGTCCATCTCCCTTTCCACACAAAGTACTCCATTGGTAGTCCTTCTGAAGTCAAGTTCTTAGAGAGTTTACCTGTTCTGGTGATAAGGTAATGTCACTGCTGCAACACTTGTCTAATCTAGGGCATTCCATTGGAATATCATTTCCAGGTAGCATTTGCTCAGCTCCCCATGTCCTGGTTCTGATTTCTGCAAGAAAGAATCCTTCCTTGGTTTGTTTGGTTGTTTACTCATGAGTGGAGAGGAATAGTTGGGTGCTCATTAACAAACATGGCTGCGCTTTAAGTATACAGATTGTTTAAGATAATCCTGATGAATTTGGAGGAAAGCAAAGAACAAAAATACTGCTAACAAAAGAAAAGACTTAATTGTATGAAGTGCTTGTATTAACTGGAAAATGCAATTCTACTGGAAGTGATAACTAATGTTTAGTTCAGCCTTCCCCAGTCTGATGCATTCCAAGTGTGTTTGATGATAATTCTGATCACCCCATAGCCCATGCTGGCTGGCATGAGTGCAGTTGTAGCTAAATACATCTGGAGAGCACAAAGTTGGGACAGGCTGTTTTACTCTAATCAGGTCAGTCTTTAGCTATGCAGAGTAAGTGGCTACTTCAGGTGATATAGGTCTGGAACTCTTTTGAAAGACAATGCTATGTATATACTTATTGCATCTGCATGAGTGTGGGATTTGGATTTTCAGCTCTGGTGTTAAAATACCTAACACTGAACCAGTGTCTGAAAGATTTTCATCCAGGTGTTGGAGGCGAAGGAGATGAGGGTGGGCTTGTGAAAAATCTCCAGAGGTTTGCACTTTCTGGTCAGGAAGGCTGGGTTGATGTCCAAAACATCTGGAGAGCTACTTTCTGCAGACTTCTAGTATATGGTACCTTTCATCAGGCCACTAATTTTTGGTAATTCTTTTGTAATCTGCATTGCAAATTTCTGAACATAAGGAGAAGTACACTAATTAAGAGCCAAGGTAATTAACCTTTCTGTACTCTGGGACTAATACATTACAAATGCTTAGAAGAAATAGATGTTATTCTTACTGGGAAATGCTTAGCTATGGGAAATCCTCTTTAGATAAGGGTGTTTTGTTAAGTACTATTGTGAAAGGTGGATTACACAATTCTATGCATATTTAGACAGAAAAGTCTTACAGTTTTCCAGATCCCCCAGCCCATCCTGCTGGCGAGTGGTGGGAGTTTTAGTCCAGACTTCTGGAGAGCACCATGCAGAGGGAGGCTGTTGCAGAAGGCTGCCAGGATAGAATTAGAAGGATCTATTCTGGACTGACAGAGGATTTCAGTTGTTCATAATGATTATGGGAAGAAAATATAATGGATAGTTCCTGTAGCACTGTGATGCTTTGGAATGACGAGCGTGGAGCGTTTGGCAACTATATTCAATCAGTCTAAGTGATCTGCTTTGGTTTTGCTATGACCGTTTTCATCTTGTGATCCTCAGAACAATCCATGCTCTTGATCATTACAAGTCACATCCTTAGATAAATAATTTGTATTTTAGGATTATGCACACCAAACTTGCATGCTGCTGCCTGATCTGCTATTCACTTGAAAGAAATGGTTGCTGTCTTCAATGAAGACATCTCTTAAATACATTTGATCTTGTTGAGTGCACTGGCTACTAGCATTCTTTTCCGCTGCTTCCAGTGTCTTTGACTAGAACTTGCTACCATTGTCCCTTCTCCTTGTCATGGCTCAAGGTCGTTTGCTGTGCATTCTGAAATTCTGTATTGCAGTGTCATGGCTGCTTCTTGAATTGGGCTTTCTTTGTGAGGTAGGTGATTGTTGTGAAGGGCACA